AAACTAATATTCAATCTCAATAACTTTGTGCGAGGATTGGGAAATGGTGATCCTGTGGAGTCACTCTCGCCGAGTAAACGGGATCATGGGTCTTCAGTCTTTGGGCAAACAACCCCGGATGGTGAGGATCGATGATGGTGTTGTGCAGCCCGCCATGAAGTGGTCCCATCAGCACGCCCGCCAAATGATCGGTGATCGATCGAGCTGGCAGTGTTATAACAGCAAGGCCGACCGGGTGATGAAAGAGCTGTGGGTACGTGTTCATCGTGACTATGCTGATAATAACATCACATTAATTGTATATTATCGACCAGATTTGCTTGTAGGATTACTACACCTTGGCGGAGGGAGTACGTGGGGAGGACGCGATGACGTGGTGAACAGTAGTCTGTGTTCACCGAGTGCAGGACCTCTTCTACGAGACAAAGCTCTGTGCGTAAGAATTTACCATGCCCGCAGAGGACACAGAGAGTCACCAGAGCGCAGCGCGCAGCACCTGCCGACTAAGGAGCAATACTTGACGGTAAACATGAGATTACATCGTCTGCGATTAATTGCAATCAAAATTGATTTATGATTTGTCATGTGCTCGTATGCGTGCAGTGCCTCTCCTGCTTGGTGTGCGGGGATGGACAATCGCTGGGAGGCCATTGTGGACAAGTGGTTGAGTGAGGAGTACGAGCAATATCACGCCAGACGCTCACGTTGCCGTGCGATGATGCAGGGTTCCTCGCACAAACAAGGCCCCACTACCCTCAAGGAATATGCAGCCAGATATGTACGTGGATTTCAGTTCGTTGTTGCTATGCTAACTTCTGAATGCATAATATCTTATTGTTGTGCTTCTTCCTGCAGACGCGGTTCCACCCCGGCCAGGAGTGCGCCTCGTTCAAGGCATATGCCTTGGCACACAAGGGCAAGGCAAAGGACCCCGACCTCGTCTACAACCCAGAGGACCCGCCCGAGGCATACAGCAACCCGAGCATGCACAGGCGCCTCAGCGAGTACACGGCGATGGCGAGAGAGATCCACGGGTCAGAATTTGATCCGAGCACCGCTGACCTCGAGGGTGACATCGTCATGAGGTTGGGACCAGGTAAGCCACACGGGCGGTACTATATGGGCAACAGCACCATAGACACGGCCAACACTCAGACACTCGCCCAGATTAGAGCCCGAGCACGAGTTCGAGTCCGCCATACATGCCCACGCCACAGCCCGTGTGGTAGCACTCCAGTGTTAGTTCTGCTGCATTCGTTGTCCATTCATTTTTTACTCGTTCTTTATTTGCATTCTAACTATGTGATAAATAATTATAGGCCCAGATTGAAGCCCTGCAGGAGTCACAGCAGGCCTCACAGAGCCAGCTTCAGGCCCTCGAGCTGTCACACCAGGCCGAGTTGGCACAGGAGAGGGCGCGAGTGCAGGCCCAGCTTGAGGCCTTCTAGCAGGCGCACAAGGACTGGTACGAGTACATGGCCCATTTTTCTCAGAGCATTGGCCAGCCTCCACCGCCTCCGCCGCCGCCGATGATACCGTTGGTGCCTCCACCTCTGCGCGACGGCACTCCTGTGAGTCACTTAGATGCACTCTTCACTTTCGTGTCATATAGAGCTACCTTCGACTTATACCTTAGTTTGACCTACCATAGCTTAGACCTTAGAATTTGCTTTGATCCAGATAACTCACATGTGCAATCTTATTCTAGAGACCTTCTACAGCTGGATCGAACAACGATATGCAGGGTGATCAAGACCAGGACTTGACTCCGTTTCTCCGCAGGCCTCCGACCATGTGACAGGCCATCCGACCTTGTTTGATAGTTTTGTATGTTGAACTGTGGACTTGGTTGAACTTTGTGGACTTTGGACATATGTTGATGGTGTTTGTGGACTTTGCATGGTGCTTGTCGACATATATTGGTTATTGTGAGTGGATGTGACATTTGTGGACATATATGTGATATATATTGCCTATCTGTCATATTATTATAATTTCCTGTGATTTTGTTGCTTATTGTGACTGGATATGCACTGAAACAAATAAAAAAAATTATGTGGACATATTTTACCGAGTGTAGCACTCGGTAAAACAGCGAACAGAACCAAATTGGTTCTGATTCTGTGAATTTTGCCGAGTGTGCCATTTTTTACCGAGTGCCGCGTCCCCACTCGGAAATATTTGACTACTTTTTACTGAGTGGGAACACTCGGTAAACATTATTCCTGAAGTTTATTTGCGGAATTGTTTTAATCACGAAAATGATTATTCTTTTACCGAGTGTTAGGAGCTACACTCGGTAAACATTATTCAAAAAATTTATTTGCGGAATTGTTTTAATCACGAAATGCTAATTTATTTACAGAGTGCTGCTAGAAAAAATAGTGACACTCGGTAAACGTCGCCGTTAACGGTCAGTTTGGAGGCTGACGACCGTCAAGTCATAATTGTTTACCGAGTGTCATTGTAGCACTCGGTAACTCTCTGCTCCGAGTGCGCCGATATTAGACACTCGGTAAAATAACTTCACCGAGTTGTTGTTTGCCGAGTCCACTTTACCGAGTGTGGCACTCGGTAAACAGTTTGTCGAGTGTGTAGCACTATTTGCCGAGTGTTACTCACACTCGGTAAATACACAGTATCCCGTAGTGAGAGGTGCAGAGTAGTTGTGATTTGCTTCTCAGCTGTTTTACCAGTGGGTTGCATGAGGAAATTCGGCTCTTTGATGGTGTGATTGGTGAGTCACGTGGGTTGAGGAGGCATGTGCTTGCTGTTAGGAAAAGGAAGTGTATGGATTTGAAGTTCAAGGTAGGTTTTGGGTCTGACTGTTGCGCTGAACATTGCCGTTCCTTCGAAGCGACCAATCATGGATGTTCCAGTGAGCAAATAAAGATGGAGTTCGCCTTAGTCTCGGTGAAGGTGACTTGGTCGTCTTTGGAATATTCTCTAAATTGATTCCTCATATGTATTATTTGGTATATCAACAGAAACTGCTGGGATAAACGAGTATTTTACTGTCTTGTGCTTGTCTGTTTGATTTGAGCAATGCATTCGAGCTTAATTTGTGACCTACATACTAGTGTCAGAATTTTCTAATCAGACTCTAGGTTTGTTTTTACAATTCTTCCACTCTTGCTTGTGCAATGTTGTGTCTGTTGCTTTATAATAGCAGCAGCAGCAGCAGCTAGAGTGTGACCATGTCGAAATAATTCTGCATATACAAAATACTCCATCTTTAGCTCTACTAGTGGAATACTCATCTTTTCTAATCACATGCGTTGAAACCCACCCCTAACCCAACCCACATGGTCGCATCAATGACTCTACTAGCGGAATACCCGCGCGTTGCCGAGGGTGATTTGTGTGTGGTACAGGTAACACGGATGATGCACCACCACTCATATGTCCTGTGGAAGTTAGGGAACAATGAGCACAGAAACGAAGATATCGAATGAGAAAAATATACTCATTCGTGGGCGCTGCTACTGCTAGTTCCCATGATCCACGACAACAGCGTATTTGCATGCAGCAACCAGGTGGTATAATCACAAAAAGATACCCCCTCTGTCTAGGAAAGAATGCAATTAAGGGAACCGTGCCGGTCAAACTGGCTCAAGTTTGACCAAATTTATAGTAAATAATATTAGAATTTATATCTCTAAATAAATTTATTATGAAAACATATTCTATAACTAATCTAATGATATGTATTTCGTCTTATGGGTGTTAATATTTTTTCATATAATTTCAGTCAAAGTTGAAACTCTTTGACTCCTTGAAATGTGAGAATTGTATTCTTTTGCGGACGGAGGGAGTAGAATATATGCGGGCAGCAAGCGCGTGTGCAGTGTTTGGTTTGCCGAGCTGGTCCGGAATGATGATCCGCTCCTCCATCATCCAAGCCTAAAGTCGTTGTTTGGTTCGAGTCACGACGATGCCGTCCGTCATCAGGTGAGGTCATTCCGTGAATAATGAAGGTATATAATCACAAGCCAGCATGCTGAGCAGGAGCATGACCGATTGGATCCGCGAAAATTTTGAAGCACCAGACGACGACCCCATTCTTTTGCATGCCGGACCAACTGTCACGACCAGACAACGCCATGAAGAAGTAGCAACAAAGAGCAGCTTGGAAAGCCAAGATCAAACTGACAGAGAAAGCAGTTGATGGTGAAGGACCAACTGTTCGAGTCGAGCATTTGGGCTTGCATATATCAGCCATATGTGCATGTTGATGTGCCGTGTTCTCCCTGAATCTCTAAATTCTCATCGGACGCTCCATCGCAACATTGTATATAACAGTTGCAACATCAAAAATCACGTTGCAACATCACAAAACACACTACTATAGAAATTAACTGTAGGGGCGGCTCTAGAGCCTCTGTAGGGGCGGCTGCGCTAGCCGCCCTTCCCAGGGTGTTCCTACAGAGGGTGCCTCTGTAGGGGCGGTTTCCTGACCGCCCCTGCAGTGCCCTCTGTAGGGGCGGCTGGTAATATCAGCCGCCCCTGTAGTGAATTTCTGTAAGGGCGGCTGTATCACCAGCCGCCCCTGCTGCGTGTATTTGTAAGGGCGGTTCAATCAAGAACCGTCCCTACAGTGGATTTTTCAGCAAAAAAAATTCAAATTCAAATCTGACCATATAATGCCACAAGTCTTCAGGATTCTTACTAACCAATATACAATTGGACACAATGTTGTTGTTTTTTTTAAAAAAAATCTGACAAGTGGAAAGTTTGCAAATGTAAGTGATAATACATGTAGAATTTGTCAGACCATGATGCATCCTAATATAGAGCAAGAGGGAAGTTAACAGGCTCAGAACTATATATGAATCCTGCTGCACAGATATTGTATCAAATTCGATAAAAGGAGCTATGTGATGCATGAAGTAATTAAGGATCCCAATGGCCAACACTTAACTGCCTTGTTTCTGAATCATTCTGAAATTCCTATAGCCCGTTGCTTCAAACTGCAAGCTGTGCAGAGGGTAAACAACACCATGAAAAGGGGACAAAAAAGAACGGAAGAGAGGAGCAGGACAAACCACGTCCCAACTCCAAACCTGGACGTCATGGATGGGCCTCTCAAAGGGCTCAGGAAGATGCAACAGATAGATAAGTTTCTGGACGTTGCTCTGGCCAGATTGAGGCGTTGGAGTTGGGGCCGGATCCTGCGCCCTTGGCCGCTGCCCTGCCGGATCGAGTCTCCTGGACACCGCCGTGGCCAGGTCGAAGCTCCTGGACACCGCCCTCGCCGACGGCTGGATCGAAGCTCCTGGACGTCACCCCCACCAGATCCTGCTCTCCTAGACACGTAATAATTTTTTTAACTGCATATCACAGCTAGGCATTTGAACAAACTAACAAACATTTGTAGCGGACTGCAGAGGATCGAGTGCACGCACCTTGTGGTCGGACTTGGAGGCGGAGGCCAGCGCGAGCAGGGCAGCAAGGGCGAGGCGAGGCCGAGCAGGAGGTGGTGGCCGCGCCGCCGTGGAGCCAAGCTCGCACTCGCCCACATCCTCCGCGCTCTCCCTGCGCCCTCTGCCATCCTCCGCGTTGGGCTCAGGCCGGTGCAGATCGGGCCACAACGCCGTCGGGGCTGGCCATGTGCGCAGGACAGGCCGCCGACGCCCCTAGGGGCTGCCGTCCGCACGCTCGAGCCACGCCGACACCTGCGTCCGCTGTGCGCCGGTGGGAGTGGGGAGGCTCGGAACCGCTGCTGCTGTAGGTTCCACCGACCGGTGCCGGGAGGGAGCCCGATGCTGGTTCGTGAGATCCAGATGCAAATGTGGGGGGAGCAGGGTGGCAGAGGAGACGGGGAAGGATGCACAGCGACGGCAAGAGGGCTGCGCAGACATGCGTCCTCTCCGGCTATATACTAGGGTTCGTGAGAGGCATGTCAGATGTCAACCATTGGATCTACAGATCAACGGCTCACAGTGAGGAAGGTTCCAGCTGGGCCTGCAGATGTATTGGGCCGATCTCAAGTATCAGGCTAAAGGCGAAATAGATATTTTGGTCCCTAAAATATTGCCCAGAGCTGCAAATGGGGAAAAAAATTATTCACATGTAAATAATAAATAATACAGTACAAAATTTTATAATTATTTGTTTATAGATATATTTACATATACAATAACTAAAACAACTACAACAGTTTAAAATTGCAAAATTGAACCTTAAAAAATGGGGAAAAAATTTAAATTTTAAAAAATTAAAATCAAAACTACTAAAATAATTTTGAGACACCAAATGATCTTAAAAAAATCACAATGTTCACTATGATCCTGTAAGGATCATCTATAACAGTATGATTTCTCTTTTTAATCTGTGGGTAAACTTTGTAACTAGTTTTTCTCTCTCATACTAACTTCAAATGTGATGGTTTTTTTTCCTAAAAAATTCTAAAATCATGCTTCAGCATTTAAGTTTGATCAAACTTAGATGTGACAATGTTTTACACATTTTTAAATTTAAAATTTAAAATTTAACAAGTTCAAACCAAATTTTAAAATCCTTAATGATTTCAGATGTAGAAGTAATGAATACCAAAGTTGTTCAACTCATCAAGATCTACAACTTTTATTTTGGTTATCTTATCATTTGACAAAATTTGAACCTTTTAAATTTGAAATTTTGAAAAACGACAAGTTCGAACCCAAATTTGAGACCCAAATTGATTTCAACATAAAAAATGATGAATATCAAAGTTGTTCAACTCATGAATATCTGCGACTTTTATTTTTGTTATTTCTTCATTTGACGAATTCTTAGCACACATTGTTCATTAATCTTACACATGTCTCATATAGTTTCTAAAACCTTATGAGAGATGTGTCACATTTGTGAACAATGTCATTACCATATTGTCATATGAAGAAATGACCAATACAAAAGTTGTAGATCTTGATGAGTTATTCAACTTTGGTATTTATCACTTTTTCAGCTGAAATCATTTGGGGTACCAAAATCTTGTCTGAAGTTGTATTTTTTTGAAATTCAAAATTTAAATTGCTCAAACTTTTCATATGTATATATTGACAAAACCAACAAAATAAATTGATAGAGAATGGTTTTAGAAAAATTTAGGAAAAAAATCATCAAATTTGGAGTTAGTACGAGAAAGAAAAACTAGTTACAAAGTTGACCCACAGATTAAAAAGAGAAATCACACTGTTCAGTGTGATTTCTCTTTTTAATCTGTGGGTAAACTTTGTAACTAGTTGTTCTCCCTCATACTAACTCCAAATGTGATGGTTTTTTCCTAAAAATTTCTAAAATCATGCTTCAGCATTTAAGTTTGATCAAACTTGGATGTGACAATGTTTTACACATTTTAAAATTTGAAATTTGAAATTTGACAAGTTCAAACCAAATTTTAAAACCCTTAATGATTTCATATGTAAAAGTGATGAATACAAAAGTTGTTCAACTCATCAAGATCTACAACTTTTATTTTGGTTATCTTATCATTTAACTAAATTTGAACCTTTCAAATTTTGAAATTTGAAAAAATACAAATGGGCACTGCAGGGGCGGCTGGTGATTAAGCCGCCCCTACAGATCAGCCCCAACTGTAGGGGCAGCTCAGGTTACCAGTCGCCCCTACAGTGCCATCTGTAGGGGCGGCTGGGCTGCTGGGGCCCGAGGACGCCCACTGTAGGGGCGCCCCCAACCCCAGCCGCCCCTACAGTAAAAATGCCCCCGTTCCTACAGTGCGAATCTGGCGTAGTGACATGTATGAAAATGGCTCTGACATCTGGTTCTAGGATGGAAAATTGCCGCCGCAACATGAACATCACGTTTCGTGCAACATCCACTGTGGAACATGGAGAAACAATTATTGCAACATCGGTGCTTGCCTTTTGCAACATATGTCAAGTGTCCGATAGATGGATATCCATCTGACGTCTGAGCTGTAGCATTACCGCTCTCCAAATCCCCCACTGGGTTACCCCAAATCCTCTCCCGAACCAGCTAGATCATAACATCAACTCATGCGCGATGGGGAATTATAGTGTGTTTGGTTTGATAAATCGCTCATACTAGATGAAGTAATGCATCATGAGTTGATTCTATAAACATATGGTGTTTATTTTATAAAATTAAAAGGTCATTCTATTGAAGAAAATGGCACTTCTCGCTCCAGCCATGGGAAACATAATGTTGGGGGCGGTAAGAGAATGAAATCACGCCAATCACTGAATAGAACAAACACAAGTGCAACGGTGTGTGTTCTAGGGTAGCGTATGTAGACCATGTAAAGCATGTGGCTACGGTAGAGATTTAAGCATGGAGGAATTTGTTCATGATTCAAATTTTCAAAAAGAAAAGCCAAGTGAGCATGTGGCCATGTGTGGAAGCATGATTAGGGCAGTACTATTTGTGTAGCAGAAGCATATGCAAGTGAACCTAGTTATTATGGAGGAGGCTTTTATCTACTGAATTCACATCAACTACTATATTTTATTTACTTTATAAACTAGATAGGCAACACTACACTCTTGAGTTTTGTTAGTATAATGCTAGAGACAACGTAGACACACGGGAACGTACAGCCATATAGGAAATTGATTTCTAACGTGTCGTGTGTGTGAAGTGATGGATTAAAAAGGTCACTTTTAATGTAATTGACCCATTCGCTGGGCTCTCTGTCACTGTTCTAGAAGATATCCATGAAAAATAGCACACGCTTTGCTAACACGAAGGATATTCCTAACCATCAAAATTAAATTCGGAGACAATAATGATCTTTCATTCTTTTCTAATCGTAGACGATTGCTCTATTTTATATCTCGTTTTTATTATTACCGTATATTAATAAAACCACCATTTTGCAATAAATAAATAAATTAGGTACCCCACACTTACATGCCACAAACGGCCACGGATGCCACGGTGTCCGAAAACGAAGTCCAGTAGCAGAGAGCCAAATCCCAAACAGCTCAGATCGACCAAACAATGCATGAACCTTCGGCCCCACTCGTCAGTGGCTTCCTTTCAAACTCAAACCTCTCTCTTCTCCAGTTCACCAGCAGCACGATCGGCATCGCCCCCCACCATTCCGTCACCCACGCCTCCGCCCCCGCCCCCGCCCCTGCAGCGCTGAACTAGGATGCGGAGGCCTCGAACCCCAGGGTTCCCTCTGCGCTCGAGGGATCGACCTCTCTCTGCCAACGTTGATGGCGTAGTCGTCGGCGACCTCAGCTCCGGATGGCGGGCTCTCGGTGCTCTCAGTGCTCACCTCCGCTTCCTCGTGCGAGAGAGGTAATCATCTCCCCTTGGCTCCTTTCACCATTTGGCTGCTTTGTTGTAGTTGTGATGAACCACGGGGTAGAGGTAACGAAGCATCGGTGTATAGATTTGCTTTTTTGGTGATTTTTGGAACAAATTATTTACTGCATTAATCGACTCGTCGTATAAGTAGTCTCATAATGGTTACGTGTACAATTTACTGCATGCTATGAATTCCATTTCATCCTTCAAGGCCAAGGGGGACAGGGTGAACAACTTATATTGCCAGTGCCGTTAGTGCCACCATATGTACAATTTAGGTTTTGATAGTTTAGATCAAAAGTATTGGGTTAGGCCGATGATAGGATCCGACTTTCCTCTGAGGCACAAAACAAACTTTTTCTCCTCTGAGGCCGATGATAGGTGCTTTCTAAAGGTTTTTGAACTGAACTTCGAAGATTAAGAAGAGAATTTCATGCTGCATAAAAACTGTATAAAGCTCAAAGAGTCAACTACAATGATCTCATCCCTTGGGGAGTTGGGTGGGTGCCTACAAGCTTGTTTTACCTCCGAAAAGCTTTTGATAAGCTTTTGGAGACGTGCTTGGGAGAAAAGGTTGATATATCAGAAGAAGTGGCGATTATTGCCGTGCATATATCATAAGCATCAAGCTATCCACCTATTCTTCGGTTCATATGCAAATCCTTTACAAATTTGTAGCTAAGCAGACTTGGAAAAGATCCCTCCAATTGTAGCTATGTTACCAAGTACAAGAAAGCTTCAGGTATTATTGGTTTAGCCAACAAAGTTGAGAGGACGAATAGTGAGAGCACGAATGAGAGGAAGAAAGGAAAAGAGGTGAGTGATCAGCCAAGAGTCCCTCTCTCCCTTTTATAGGGGAGGTGAGAGAAGAGATTCTCTTTATACCCCCTAGTGGGTTTTGTATTAACAGAAACACCACTGGGGGCTACAAATGGACCCATATTGGGTTTGTATTTACAATAATACCGCTAAAGGCTACAAATACCCCCACAATATTAGTTTGTGAGCCCTAGTCTATGTAATTGGGCCCTAATCATGATAGTGGGGGTCCCCCAACCTATAATGTACCCCTAACAGGTATTGTGAATGTGATGGAAAATGTCGATCATATGAAGTCCGAAAAAGAACCACTGCCGATAAAGATAAGCGGGCTTGAAAACAAAACCATGGATGAACTTGCCTGTGATGTTGTTATCTTATTCAGGGATGGCTATAATGCAGAAGGGTCAAACTTTGAACATAAAGACCCTCCAAGTGTGCCTATATCTGAAAACACAATGAGTGTAGGGGTGGGTGTACAAAGAAAGAGGAAATGTGCTCAGCAGACAGTCAACAAAAACAGAAGACCGAAGGGAGGTGGTGGACCGAAGGGAGGAGCAGGATCGTTGGGGGAAAGAAAAGGACCAAATGGAGGAGGTTCAATGCAGGGGGGACAAGGGCCGAGGGTAAGAAGAGGGCCGAAGGGAGGAAGATTTGGAGGCTCTGCTGCCTCCTTTCATTCTACTAGAGGACCAAAGGATGGAGTTGGAAGATCTGCTGCCTCTTTTCATCCTACAGGAGGGGGACCAAAGGATGGAGTTGGAAGAACTGGTGTCTCCTTTCATCC